ATATATTACCAAAAATCAACATAAATAACCATTAATTATTGAATTATTGTTAAAATATTATATACTTATTTTATAGTAAATTCACAAAAAAAAAATCATAAAAAATACAGAAATTATAATAAAGAATATGATAATTATTAGAAATAGATAATATGATACTCAAGAATATGATAAATTAATTTTCAATATTTTCAGAAAATATGATAATTTCCAAAATTAATTGAAATAACAGAAAATTATAAATAATTACAAAAAATTGTCATTGATTAGTAGAAATGAGCAAAAATTAACCAAGAAAATAAAAAAAAAGTAGATTACCAATATTTTTGGGAAATATGATAATGTCCAGAAATTAATAAAAATAACAAAAAATTACCAATAATTAACAAAAATTGTCATAATTACCAAAAATTATCCAAAAAATGAATTAATATTATTTCCAATAAATATGATAGATTACCAAAAATTAACATAAATAACCATTAAAAGTACTTTGTGAAAATATGTACTAATTATCAATAATCTTCAAGAAATTAATAAAAGTAATTACAAGACTTTCTCAAAAATAGCAAGAAATTACCAAAAATTGTCATCAGTGGAAATGAACATAAATTAAAATACATTGGTTTTTTCGTATTGATTATAAATCATATAATTTAAGCATTACAATCCTTGCCTATGATGGTATTAGTTCATAGTATTATAATGGAAAACATAAAAAATGTGTTTACTATTATTTATTTCCATTGTTTTGCTTTTGCTTAACAAAGGCTGTGCATCGCACAGGTTCCTACTAGTATATACCTTAAACATAAAATTTAATGAGAGGGATTTAAATGAGAAGAAATGTGGTTGTTCAAATTACATTCCTATTCTACAATCAAAGCAATACCCAATTCAAAAATTGGAGTATTTTAGCCAAACAAAAATTCCAAATTATCATTCACACTTTTAATGGTAGTATAGAAATTGGGGTATTTTAGTCAAACAAAAGTTCCACGCTATCATTCACACTTTTAATGGTAATATAGAAATTGGGATATTTTAATGAAACAAAAGTTCCAAACTATCATTCACACTTACAGTAATATAGATACTTGCCTCCCTTATCAAATTTGGGATCCATGCTAATGGACTTGATGAACACAATTTGTATTTTGACACCTGTCCCGTAAATATCTCCAACTTATCCTTGAAATAATTAAAATGAAATGTGGTAAGACAGTTGTCAAAGTATTTATTAAGTGTGCCCACATCGGAATGTTCTAGATCCCATGTTTACAAACACATTGACGTGTTCACTTATGATTCTATACATAACATGTTACACACAACTTTACAAGAAGCAGATCTAGACTTAATGTGCTCACAAGGGTGTACCTACTTAGATGTGGCCTTGCCCTAATCAGCCTTCAATGAAAGCAACGTTATTCAAGGAGGACATCATCACTATATTTAGTACATCATGATACTTTTTTTGGTAATATGATCAATGTCGTGCAACATGTATTTATTATTAGGATGTTGCTAATGTTATGATAAAGAATTGGGATATGCTCCTCACAAAACGTGCCTCACACCGACTTCACAGCCACATCCTACCCTGTATTGGGAACATCTTTCCATAAATAATAAATACAAGCACGAGAAATGTTCCTGATGTGTGGGAGCAGATCTGGACTCTATAATAAAGTAAAGAGAAAATTCTCGATCAGTACCTTGTACTTTGGCTCGAGTGACAATTTGGTCCCCGAACTTTAAAATGCGACAATCAGTATCTGAATTTTCAAAACGTGACAATCCAGTGCCCGGACTTTCAAAATATGACAATCCAATACCTGCCATTAACCTGTCCGTTAATCAATCATTAAGTGACATTTGAAAAGTCAAAAATGCCCTAAGAATGCTATCTAATTCTCTTTATCAACCATCCAAACATTGACAATAAAATGGACAGTCCCAAATTCTAGATTCTTCTAAACAGTCACCAACGTTTTTAAATAGAAGAGGCTAGGACTTGGGATTATTCAGTTTTTTTTTTCAACGTTTGGATGGTTGATAAAGAGAATTAGATGACATTCAAAGGGCATATTGGACTTTTCAAATGTCACTTAATGGATGATTAATGGACTGCCACATTTTAAAAGTTCGGGCACTGAATTGTCACATTTTGAAAGTTTGGATATTGGATTGTCGCATTTTAAAGTTTAGAGACCAAATTGTGACTCGAGCCAAAGTACAAGGTACAGATCGGGAATTTTCCCTAAGTAAATATATATGAGAATACATTGCCTTAAGTTTGCTGCTATGAATCAAGGTTTAGGGTATAACCGCACAAGAGTGAGACTGGAAGAGAACAAACTTAGACTGCATTTGTTTACAATGTCAATGCCGGTTCAATTTTACAAGCTGGTAAGCATGCATTTGTATACCGATAATGATAGTTATCACTTGGAAGACATGTTTGTACTCACAATTAATACAAAGTTTGCACTCATTGTTGATTAATGTAAAAGAGAGAGATTTCGGTATTGCGATCCACGTTTCTACTCATTACAACAAAAAAATCGTTTAATTGGAATACAAAATTTATCCATAGAAAATTAAAACAGATTATATTCATGAACCGGTCAGAGGGAACTTTTGAATGGTATATATTTGCTTTTTACACTAAAAACAAAGGAGCTTTAGAAGACAACTTTTTGCTCGTGAGCAATAAGATGATACCTTTTTGCATCATGAAGACAATAGTGGTGGAGTCCCCATGGATAATTTATGGTAACCCTTTTTCAGACCTATTTGGTATGGTTAACATAAAAAATATGACACACCAGTTACTTAGATAATTATATTGTGTGAACCATGGTTTTTAAAATCGGACTAGACCAGATGGTCAGGTCAGAAAAACCGGGAATAGGTCATTTGACCAGTTTTGTTTTATCCCAGAATCGTTATTTTGGCCAAAAACCGCTGATTTAGTCAGTAAACCGTTGAACTGGTCAAATGACCAAAAACCGTTGATTTGCCCAGTGATTTTTGACCCTTTTTAAATTTTTTGTCAAAACGGGCCAGTCCTTCAGTTCAAACAATTGGACTGTTTGACCTGAGAACTGAACCTCTGAACAGTTTGGTTTTAAAAACCTTGGTGTGAACTATACAACTACTCATTGTCCTGTTCTTGGCGCTACAACATGGATGCTCCAGGCCAACCTCACTCCCGCACTAATGCACCACCTAACCTTAGCTTTTTAAATGGGCTGGGCTAGATTTTTGGGCTTCCGTCTACCATGGGCCTAGAACGTCAGACGGACTTTACTCAAGTTGGGCTTGGCTGATGCCTTGGTTTGTTGGGTTGCACCATCTAACCCAAGCCCACCTGATCGTTTGAAATATAATACATTCTTACATATATATGTCTCAATGTCTGTACATATGTATTTGATATACATGTATGTACGTTATATGCAAATATGTTGGATGGCGTTATCCGTATACTTTTCAAGCCAAACCTGCAGTGTTGAGTTTGATCTAGGAGCTTACAGTTCGAGGATGGACCGGCCTTGGGCTGGAATGGCCAACTCTTAAGATCGGGCCTAAGTTGGGCCCATACCCGGTCCAGCATGTGGAGTTCAGCTCTTGATGGACCTGTTTTGGGTATCCAAATTAAAATTAATTTAGATGGATTGGACAGATCAATAAGACATAATGAATTGTACTAGCCTAAACTTAATGGTCCAGAGTATTTATTGGGTTGGACTGGACTTGATCCATCCGTAATGAATTTATCTTGGATTGGATCAGATTGAACCAATAATCCAATATCCTGTCCATTGATAGAAGATAAGAATACAGTTGTCAATAGACTATGTTTGAATTTGAGAAAATCTAAATTAAAACCAATTTGACAGTCCAGACATTAAATTGGACCAATTTAAAATGGTCTAAAATATTCATTGAATTGGGTTGGACATAGTCCATTTGTAATGAACTCATAATGAACCAGATCGAATTGACACCCGATTGTCTGCTTGCAGAAAATTAGAGTAATTGACATTTTGAATGTGATTTCCGGGGGGAGGGAGAGACGCTTACTGTGTACATGCTTTGTAAATAGTTTGGAACGAGACTTCGTACCCATTAAATAATTTCAATGAAATTGATAGTCTATTATAGTAGAAATAAGCCCTTCTTGACTCGAGTTGAAATTGGCTATTATTTTTATTTTTTATTCTCTTAAATTGAATCAAAAAATGGGAAAGGATAATGACAAGTATATAAGGCTCAATTTAGAAAGAATACAAAATACAAATATAAACAGTGCAAATATATACAAAATACAAGATTTTATATTCTACGTATTTGTATTTGTATTCCTTCCAAACTAAGCCTAACCTATTAAAACATCAATTTACATGAATTCCAACACAGAGAAAACGTGAATAATAGAAGAAATATGAACTGAGTGACTTTTTCTGAGAAGATGGCCCGGTGGGTGTAACAATTGATTAGAGGTGTAATATGGGTCATATTACACCTGAAAGGGAATATGACCTTTCAGTGGCTGCCTGGCCTGGAACCCCTGAAAGGGAAGCCTGGGCATGGTGTGTCAGGCTGGGCCGGGCTGTGGGTGGTAGTATGCTTTTTTTTTTTTTGAAAAAGTGAGAAACATGAAAAAAGGTAAATAAATTAACAAGATAAATAAAAAATTAAAAAAATCTTAAAATTTTATTTTTTATGAATTTTGATATATACAATTGTTTTTATATAAAATAATAAAATAAAATTGAAAAATATTATAATAAATTAAAATAATAGATTATATATACGGCCCACGGGCCTCAAACCCAAGCCCGGCACCGCCCACTTTACGTTGACAATGCACAACCGGGTCTTTTCGGAGCGGTCGTGGTTAACCCGGGATCCAATTGTAATCGACAAGGCAAAATGGCATAGGCTCGGATCCAATCCAACAGACCATGAGACTAACAGGCATTCCAAACGATACATTTTAGTATCGAGAGCCCATGGCTGAAGCAGAGGTGATGAAGCCTCATGCTTTTTTGTCGTCCACCCGTTTCTTCTCCGACTGAGCATCGAAGCACAACCAGAGAAAATGCTGGCCTCACCTCACCATCCTCCTGTATGCCGTTTTGTCTCTCCTCGGCCATTGTCTCCCAAGCAAGGTACTCGGTGCTCCTGTCTTTCCCTCTCCCTCTCTTTCTCTCTCTTCTCTAATACATTGATGATCTTCATGTTACAGGATATCCTCATTCGAGGAAACTACTTCCGAGAAGAATTTCAAGAATGGAGGTCGCATGTAGCAGCAAAGATGGTGGAAATTCCGGGCATGAAGATAACAGACAGCTTTACCTTGGGATGGACTTCGGCACTTCTGGAGCCAGATATGCTCTTATTGACGATCAAGGAACCATTCAGGCCGAGGGGAAACGAAATTACCCGCAATATGTGGTAAGCTTGTAGAGCTCCAGCTTAAATTTTTAGCTAAGCAAGTCTAATGACTTGACTCCCTATTATTTGGTTGTCTAGACAGAGCGAAAACACAATGGATTGGGCGACCTCATGGAAAGCAACACTCTTCTTGCTACTTGAAGATGTTCCAGTTAGTCTTCGCCCATTCATTTCTTCGATATCTATTGACGGGACCTCTGCAACAACCATCGTCGTTGACAGGTGGGCTCTTATAATTAAGTTTTCTGTTTATCTCGCATTATTATTGTTACTGCTTTTTCCGTGTTGTTTGTTTTTTTTTTCCGGGATTTGATCGAAATTCGTAACTGCAGCACCACGGGGGAGCCATTATGCAGACCGTTTCTTTACAATGAGAGCTTTCCTGATGCTTTACCCTTGGTTAAATCAGTTGCTCCTGCAAACCATACAGTGTGCTCTGGTTCCTCTACCCTTTGCAAACTCGTTTCGTGGTGGAATTCTCATGATTCCAATAAAGAATCTTCCTTGTTGCTGCATCAAGCAGATTGGCTTCTGTGGCATCTCCACGGAAAACTTGGAATCACTGATTATAACAACGCTTTGAAGGTGCCATTTTAGTTTGTTTGGCATTCCTTTGTTTTTCTTACATCCATATCTTCTCTCATCATTGTCGTGTTTCGATGAGAAAGAATACACTAGTTTACCTGTCTCTGTACATATATAACAGGTTGGATATGATCCTGAGATTGAGTCGTATCCACCGTGGCTGCTTCAGCAGCCATACTCACAGTTGCTACCTTCTGTCAAAGCCCCTGGAACTTCAATTGGTCATTTGAAAGAGGATATTAGGACACAGTACGGTATGTTTGGTTAGGAAACCGATCTAGTATGGTTGGTATCTAAATATATGTTTATTACTTTTTCATTTGCAATGTTACTGTCTGTAAATTGTCAAGTGGATACTTTCTTTTTATTTAACCACAAAGCATAACTCCCCCGGGATTGACTAGTCAAGTCATTAGGCCAAAGCAAAAATTATGATCCTCATTTTTAATATTTCCACATGCTTTGAAAAGTTGTTTCGTGAAAAAGAATTTTAACCACCATGATTGCATAAAATGATAGATAAATTCTGTTCATAAAAGATCATAGTTGTACTACTGCCCAGTGCAAAAGGTGACTTGTGATATGTGAATATTTTACAAAACCTTATCTCTTCTGCTTGAAATGTACATAATATTTTCCTTTTGGAGAACATTTTAATTTTTACAGGACAGGATTAATAGAGGTTTAATAACTAGTTCATCCTTAATTTTACCAAGGAGCAAACTCATCGAAAAAAAAAAACAAAGAAAGCAGAGGAAGGCCTTTGGAAGGTTCCCCAGAGATGATCTTAGAAAGAACCTCTGCAAGAGTCATTACTGGGTACCCTTCCAATACAGCTACCCCCCCTTCCCCCGAAAAAAAAAAAAAAAATCCAAGGCAAGATTAAGCTGCAATTTTATTGTAGGAAATCCCAAGCTAGTTAGAGGAGGATTGTTTTTGAAGACACATGGAAGTAGTCACTGAGTTTTGATGGACTCATTGGTGTTGTGGATTATGTAAAAGGATAAGTTATTGCTCTTATTATGTGTAATCTATCGCCAAGCAACTTTCCATCAGCTCTTTAGTCATTGAAGGGCACTCTGCCAACACAACATAACTAGATGAATTCTTGGCATCTAAAGATCTGGTGGATCTTACGAGAGATGAACTCGTTGATGGGTGGGCATGCTGATGTGGGGTTGGAAGGACTTTTTGTATATAGCTTCATGCCTAATTGGTTTTAGTTCATTTTGTTTTGTTCTGTTCTGGGAGAAGCTGTGTTACCATATTTTGCACATGAATATATATACTCATTCATATTATTATTTCTTTCCACAAAATATATTATCCACACTCTTTCTTAAAAATGGAGATGTAAAGAAACTCTTTTAAAATCAATTAATTGTAAAGCTAAATATTTAACCCTTTATTCTTTTTTCTGGCTGAGTATTTTGCAGTTCATGGACATAGTTATAGTTTTGCTGACCTCCTATTTCAACTTGGGAAGATATTCAGATTTTTAGATCTCCATTGCTTTCTAATAATAACTACCTGGGCAGGTTTTCCAAAGGATTGTGTCATCTGCACAGGAACCACAGATAGTATAGCTGCTTTTCTTGCTGCACGGGCTACACAACCTGGGAAAGCTGTGAGATTTCTACCAGTCCGCCCCCCCCCTCTCTCTCTGACCTCAATCTTTTTTTTTTTTTGAAAGAACTGTCTGACCTCAATCTGGGCGATATCCCAAGTGGAAGCCATTATGTGGCAGGGAAAACTTTATTTAGTGCTTTAAATGCATTTCCATATTACTCGTATAGCATCATTGTGGCATGCTAATTAACAGTTTCTGTCTGCAATGCAAATTCAATAGATTCCTTTTCTCAAATGCAATAAGGAAAAATGTTTTCTGGTTATTAACAAATTTTATATTGATTTTAATTAGGTAACTTCTTTGGGTTCAACACTTGCTGTTAAACTTCTCAGCACTAATCGAATTGATGATGCACGCTTTGGGGTGTATAGCCATCGCCTTGATGACAAGTGGCTTGTAGGAGGTGCTTCAAATACTGGAGGAGCTGCTCTCAGACAAATTTTCACTGATGAGCAATTGGAAGAATTGAGTAAACAAATTAATCCCATGGAAACTTCTTCTCTAGATTACTACCCTCTGCCAGCTGTTGGAGAAAGATTTCCTGTGGCAGACCCACAAATGGTACCCAGGTATTTAAATGTTCTTTATCTAATTTCCTGCTCTAACAAACTCCAAGGGCAGCCCAGTGCACAGGGCTTCCGCCAATGTAGGGTCTGGGGAGGGATAGATGTACACAGCAATTCGATTACCCCTGCACATATAGAGAGGCTGTTTCCAAGATTTGAACCCTAGTCACCAAGGTCCCAATGGAGCAACCCAACCGTTGTGCCAAGGCCCACCCTCTTCTAACAAACTCCAAAATAGTAAAATTATTTCAAATCTTGTTTCAATATTTTACAGTCATCTTAATGAGGGACCAATATGCAATATCCTGTTCAAATTATATACATGTTAAAATTTCCATAGAATCCCCCCCCCCCCCCCCCAGTACAGGTAGTTCTAGCACCACATACATTGATTACTCATCTATTCATTAAATGCCCTAGCTACCACAGAACAGGAAGTTTTATTATCAAAATAGAATTGATAACTCATCTATTTATTAAATAGTTCACATGTAGTCTTTTGGGTCACTTATGGTGCTAATATTGCTCAAGTTATGATGCTCTTGTATTTGAGTTTCTCAAGATGAGGGGGAAAAAACTTATGACACTTACTAAGGAATGTGGACATCAACCATAGGTTGCTGCTCTGAAAGAACAAACTGAACCTTTTCATTACAGTGATTCCTGGGAGTTCTCACCAATTGACACGCAGAGATGTAGAGTATTCTTTGAGGTTCTATGACATACCTTGACAGAATGGTACCATGATTTGTCAAAGATTAGTTGCACAAGATAGACTTAAAGATATGTTTGACACATCATCTTGGAGTTAAATGGATACCAAGAGGAAAGTTTGCCAAAAAAGAAGAAAAATCTATATGATACGGGTTTCTATTTGAGGTTCAACTGATTTACTTAGTAATTTTAGGTTTCTTAAAGTTTTTACATGTCATGGTAGAATGCAATTAGTCAAAATTAGTTGCACAAGATTCAATCAAGATTACAATATTTATTATGTAGGACGTACAATCCAGTTCCAGTAGTTAAATCACAAGGAATTATATTTTTCAGTTTCTGCCACAAGAATATGAGACATGCATAAAATTGGAATTAAATGAAGATTCCAAAAAGAAACTTTACATCATTGTAAGCAATGTTCTCTGAGTCAGAAGAGTCAACCTTGGCTTCAGATATTTGAGGGTATTATTATTGAGTCCGGAGGCAGTTCAACCAGTTGTACTAGGGGCTTGAGCCTGACTCTAGCAATGGTAACAACCTTTCAATCTTTTCTTTTGGGTTTATGATGTGGTTACTAAAGGAGATGATTAGGATGTTGTATGGTGTCTTTCGTGATGTTGATGAGCGATGTTTGATATGAAGATTTGGCAATCATAGTGTTGAGTTGGGCCGATTTCTAGTTATTGGGCCCAGTTATTTATCTTTTATTTTTTAAGTTGTTAAGTTAGGAAGTTATTGGGCTTTAGGCCCATTAGTTTATGTTTTTTAAGTTGTGACTGTTCAGCTACTTAAGTAGCCGCCCTATTAAGGGCATTCTTGTAATCTCTTATTCTTTTATTTTGAGTATATAATACAAAGAGGGGTTGGTGGCCAGAACTAATTCAATTCTGGTTGACATCCCACTCCTTTTCTTCTCCTCTCTTCTCTCTACTGCTGAAACTCTTCGTCTTCTTTTTCTTTCTCTTCACAAGGAATTCATCTAAAGCTGCAATAAGTGATTTCTACTTGGTATCAGAGCAGGCCGAAGGTTCCTTGAGCTGTTCTATCATGCAGCCCTAGATCGACCGATTGCATGGTGATTTGAGAGGCTGATCAAAGATCTTAGGTAAGCCCAATTTTTGGATTTTTTGGTGGATCTATTTTGCCCTGTAGCTGGTTTAGGGTTTCCCATCAAATTCAAGAAAAGCTGGAGAAAGGAGGAGAGTCCTGTTTCTGTTGGACTCTTCAATTTTGACCTAGGAAGTGGTGCCCTAATTTTTTAGGGTTCCTTGGAGTTTTTTGAAGGGGGCGGTTCAAGTCCTGCCTGTTTTGGAGGTCTCTGGAGAGAGCGACTGCCTCTTCTCTCTTTTCTCCCATCCTGCAGAAAAGGAATCTTTTGTGGTAAGATCATCTAGGGCACCGGAAGGGTGTCGGTGGTACCAAAAGTGATTTATTTGATATTCTTTCATCTTACAGTAGCCTTCTAATCCTTTTTTGAGAATTATGGAGGGTAACGGAGTTGAAAACAAACCCAAGAGTGAAATGAGACCAGTGAGAGGAGGTGTTGGAGACCTTTCCAGGGCTGAGACCATTACTATAGTTAAGTTGGATGGTTCAAATTACTTAGAATGGTCAAAATCTGCAAAGATGGCCATTGGTGCTCGCGGGAAGTTAGGGTATATCATTGGTGAGGAAGTGAAACCCAAAACTAATAGCTCCCAGTGGGTACAGGAAAATTATATGGTGATGACTTGGCTGTGTAATTCAATGCTGCCCCATATAAGTAAGAATTTTTTTTGTGGGCAAATACAACCAAGGAAATATGGGATGAGGTTGTAGAAACCTACTCACAGAGTGAGAATGTTGCTAGGACCTATCAGTTGAGGAATCAGATTACTGCTACAATGCAGGGAGATAGACCTATTGTTGTTTACTTTTTAGCCCTTAAAACCCTGTGGCAGGAGATTGACCATCTAGAGACAGTTGTTTGGGAAACCACTAAGGATGTAGCTGCCTACTAGAAGCTCCTAGAGAAGTATAGGGTTTTTGAATTTCTTGCTAGCCTTAATCCCGAGTATGATATTGCAAGACAACATATTCTTTCCAGGGACAGTGTTACTCTCGTATCAAGGGAAGAGAGGAGGAGAAATGTGATGATGAAAAATTCTGTTTTTGATCAATCAGCCATGGTTAGCACTGTGAAACCTAAACAAGGTGGAGATCGGGGTGGCAGTGAAATCAGGAAGGAAGGCAAAAAGGATTTGATTTGTGACTACCACAAGAAGCCTAAACACGCAAAAGATACCTGCTGGAAGCTTCATCCTCATCTTGTGCCGAATAGACTCAAAAACAAGAAGGGAAAATGCTCACATGGTAGTCACTGGTGACATACCGGCCCCTCCTACTACAACTACTCTGGAGTCTGTTGCAACTACTGCAGTGAGGGCCGAACTTGAGAGATATGGGTAGTTCCTGAATCAGCGGGATACAGTCAGTCTTAATTCAGTAACAGGTGGACAGCTAGGTACAGGTGGTTCTGGTGGAGCACACTCTACTTCCTTTGCTCACACAGGTAGTTCACATGCCACTGCAAATTATGTTTCTACTACAGGTAAGGAGGGACCTCCTTGGATTATAGATTCTGGAGCCTCAGAGCACATGACCCATAGTTCCACTATTTTTTCTTCTTACCAGCTCTGTCCTGTTCTAGTAGAGACAGAGTCTCCACAGCTGATGGATCTCATGTTCCCATTGCTGGGAAGGGGTCTGTCAAGATTAATGATTCCATTTCCCTTCCCTATGTCCTTCATGTTCCCAGATTAAGTGCTAACTTGTTATCTGTTAGTAGTTTGACTAAGAACCTAAATTGCTCAGTAATTTTTTCTCTTGGTCATTGTGTCTTGTAGGATCTGGATTCAAAGAGGACGATTGGGAGTGGTCGTGAAGTGAATGGAATCTACCTCTTGGATGTGCTTCCTCATCATCAGGGTCATCATGTCAGCAGGGATAGTGAGTTGGGGTTTGTGAGTCAGATTATGCTTTGGAATAATCGTTTGGGTCATTTGTCTTTTTCTTCTTTGAGTTTCTTATTTCCAAAGCTTTTTGAGTCTATTAATTTGTCCGGTTTAGAGTGTGAAGGTTGTCAACTTGGAAAACATTGTAGACATTCTTTTAAAGCTAGTAATAAAAGATGTTCATCTCCTTTTGGTGTTATTCATTCTGATGTGTGGGGACCATATCATGTTCCTTCTTTGGGTGGCTATCGATATTTTCTCTTATTTGTGGACGATTTTTCTCGATGTTCTTGGATTTACTTAATGAGATCTCGAGATGAGGTACCATCCTTGGTTCGGTAATTTCATCAAATGGTGTTAACACGGTTTGGGATACGAATTAAAGTGTTCAGATCAGACAATGCCAGGGAATATTTTGAAAAGCACCTTGCTTTATATCTGTTAGAATATGGTGTTGTCCATCAGAGCAGTTGCTCCTACAATCCACAACAGAATGGTGTTGCAGAGAGGAAGAACAAACACATTGTTGAGATTGCAAGAAGCATGATGATCACAACTACTATTCCAGTTCGGTTTTGGGGTGATGTAGTTCTCACAACAGTCTTTTTGATTAATAGGGTTCCCTTTCGTATACTTGATTCAGCACACCATTCAGTCTCCTTTTTCCTGAGGGGGGGATGTTCCATATTCCTCTCTGGGTGTTTGGGTGTGTTTGCTTTGCATATATTCTTGGTCCTCATCGCTTGAAGCTTGATCCGAAGGCAAAGAAGTGTGTCTTCTTTGGATATGCAAAAAATTAGAAAAGGTACTGCTGCTATGATCCAGTTTCTGGGAGTTGGTATTTTACTATGGATGTCACCTTTTTTGAGTTCACATCCTTCTTCTCGAAGAATCCTTCTCAGGGGGAGTGTTTTGGGGAAGCGAGTGAATAGTCTATTCCTCTTCCAGTTCTAGTTCTAGTTTCTGTGTCCACTCTTGTGTCTGATCCTCCTATGTCACCTACCTTACCACCTCCTGTGTGTCTTACTTCTCAGTGTTACTCATGACAGAGACTTCACAGGGAGGTTGATTCCACTGCAAAAGAACAACTCACATCACTTCCTGTTGGTTCCTTGGAGACTCTAGATTCTACTAACACAGATTCAGGTATTCCTCTTGATCTCTACTATTTCGGTTCCCACTGATTCTACTAAACCCATTACAGATAACTTGGACCTTCCTATTGCTATCAGAAAAGGGAAGAGAAAGTGTATTGCTCGTTGTATTTCACAATATCTATCCTACAGTAGACTT